GGCTGAACATGAGCCGGCAGTGTGCCCAGGCGGCCAAGAAGGCCAACGGCATCCTGGCCTGTATCAGAAATAGTGTGGCCAGCAGGAGTAGGGAAGCAATTGTGCCCCTGTACTCGGCCCTGGTGAGGCCGCACCTCAAATACTGTGTTCAGTTTTGGGCCCCTCACTACAAGAAGGACATTGAGATGTTGGAGCGTGTCCAGAGAAGGGCAACGAGGCTGGTGAAGGGTCTGGAGAACAAGTCCTATGGGGAGCGGCTGAGGGGATGGGGTTGTTTAGCCTGGAGAAAAGGAGGCTGAGGGGAGACCTCATTGCTCTCTACAACTACCTGAAAGGAGGTTGTAGCGAGGTGGGTGTCGGTCTCTTCTCCCAAGTAACTGGCGAAAGGACGAGAGGAAATGGCCTCAAGTTGCGCCAGGGGAGGTTTAGATTGGATGTAAGGAAAAATTTCTTTACTGAAAGAGTAGCTAAACATTGGAACAGGCTGCCCAGGGAAGTGGTTGAGTCACCATCCCTGGAAGTATTTAAAAGACGGGTAGATGAGGCGCTTAGGGACATGGTTTAGTGGGCATGGTGGTGTTGGGTTGACGGTTGAACTCGATGATCTTGGAGGTCTCTTCCAACCTTAATGATTCTATTCTATGAAGGAGAAACAAACTACCTCACATCCTGAGAGCATTTGAACATGTTTAGTTTAATGAGAATCAAACACTAGACAAAAGCAGCCTTAGTAGCCCCAGACATCACTCTGAACTAAGGCCTCAAGAAGAAAGAAAGAAAAAACAAATTAAAAAAAAAAATCACTCACTGAATGAAGAGTATATGCCTTACATTGGAACCATAATTCCTACAGGATTTTCTAATGAGATTTCAGATACTGTATACATTTGTGAAAATCCAGGTTTACCTTTATATAGGGATCCCTACATTAAGCATGAAAGGATTTATTTTAACATAAAATTTCTACAATAATGGAAATAACCAAATAGACAATCAGGTTTTGGAGATCATCTGAATGAGTTTGTCAGAACGAACAAGCTGTTTCAGAAGAACGCTGACTTTTTAACTGTGTAAAGTGACAGAACCAAACTGTTTCTCAATACCTAGTTCAGGTACTGACAGCAGTGTAGCTGCCCAACTGCAACATGTTCCCAGGCTAATATATGTATTTCTCACTGGGGTTAATTAATTTGGATTGTATGTCATGGGACATAACACTACATCCCACTGCCAGGGCTCAAGAGAGATTGTCAGAGATAGAACAAGTATCTTTAAACAGTTCTGCAGTGCAGTGAAAATGTGTGAATGATTGCTCATCCTCAACCATTCAATCCTCAAAGCTGCTTCACTAGGCAAAAAGAACAAGCCAGCAGGATTGCAAAATGAAGACACTAAAACCCAGAGGTGGTGCAAGAATGAATCTGTTAATGAATATGGGACGCAGTCAGGTTCTGTTTATGGCTGACCTCTTGAGAAAACTTGATAGCTTTTGGTTAGTTCTCTCTCTGCCTGTAGACTGTTGCGTGTGCCAGATGAGGAGGATGCTGTCCTTCTGCACAATAACAGTCAGCTGAAGCTTTGACTTGCAATCTATTAAATAGGAAAATAATATCTAAGCATCCTCATGCTATAAGGATGGGATCCCACTCCCACGGACCAGATGAAGCCTGAGCAGCAGTTCCCACATTGGTTTCTAATGGTAAGAACCACTGCCCTTTTGACCCCCCAAGTACCTGCACACTTATGATGCAACTCCTTTGGATCTACAACTCTGCTAAGTCTGGGAACTGCAAGTCAAGAAATAACATTTGCCATTATCTTTTGTTTGGGAGAAACTACCCTCATGGATAAGCTACCAAAACACAGAAGTCAATAAACCCTAAGTTCTGAAGCCACATCTCCTTGCTTGTCTTTTGAGATAGACTCCCACCAAAAATGAAGACATATTCCAGATGGAAAGACCCCGATGCTGTTTCCCCTGAGGTGAATTCTGACCAGGTTTTTGGTCCAGCCTCATCTCTAAATGACAGCACAGTTCTGCTTTACTTCCTTGTATTTGATATCCTTCTTCCTTATACCACTGACAATTGTGAAGAAGCCTTCCCACACCCACACAAGGGACTGAGTGAAAAAGTGGCTTATCACATGAGTAAGCCTAGCTGGAGTTAATCTGATGCACAAGGTCATCTTGTTCTTGATCATTATTAGGCAGGGACCCTTGGAGTCAAATTCAAATTGAAATTAAAACAGAGTAGAAGAAGGACTATAAATAAATCAACAGCTAACAAGTATCTCATTGAAGCATATTAAAGGGCTTTGTATATTTAATCTGCACACAGCACTCTGTGTCTGGTGGTGATTGATGCTTTTTCATTTTTTTTGCAGCTTTTATGAGAGCTGATGGTAATCTCCTGAGAAACAATATGATTTGTAATAAAAAGATTACCTGTATTAAATAAAAATAATATATACATAGGAAATGCTGTTAGCGCGACAAATCTGGTTAAAGATATTACCACCACGAAAAAATGTGATTTTTTCCCTGGCTGTCTAATTCATTTTAGGGAAAAGTAATATCTTTAAAACTTAAGCCTGTATTATTTATAAAGGAAGCAATAACTGATTTTCCCATTTCCTATATTAATAAATTTATTTGCATATATTTATATCAGAATTAATGAGTTTTCTCTCTCTATGAATGCAAAAACTGCACTGAAAGGGAAAAGGAGAATCAAGAATTGCTTTATGCCTTTAGATTGCAAGTCGACATAAACTCACGTTTTTTCTATAGCTAGATACAGTAAGCCTCTGTTTTCTTTCAGTAGAGGCCTTATACTGTCATCAGGAACACTGGAAAAATATGATATTTAAAACTA